TTGTCAAAGGTGCGGTTAAGTTTCTCGATTTGTCAAGAAAGATCGACTGCATTCCTTTGAATTGCCTCGACTGCCTCCTTGATGGCTTGTTCGTCCCTTGCCACCTCGTCAAACCCGGCTTGGACTTCTCGTCCTTTCTCTACAATTCCTGCAAATAGCACGCCGGAAGTCGTGTCATCGGTCGCATTGAGTAAGGCCTGGAGCGCTGTTCAGTCATGGGCAATGTTGTCAATCTTGTTGATCCATTCTCTACGACGTTGGGGGTTGTTGACAATGTCTCTGAGGTAAGCAAGGTGTGCGGGAGAGTCATTGGAGTCAAATTTGTCGTCGAGAGGGTTGGTGTTTTGAGCAGTGATGCGGACGCGGGTTCCGAAGTGGAATCCCAGAGGAATTGGGATGGGTTCGGGGTTCTCTTCCTGGTGTCACCGGAATTTGCCAGCAATTTCTTTGAGAGCCGTGGCAATCCCTTGCTGGACGTTGTTGGTGGTGAGTTCGGGTTCGGGGCTGTCGCAGTCAACCAAAGTTTCCTCTTGAACCGGAGAGGAGGAAGTCGGGGATGCGGGAGGTGTAGTCTCTCCGAGAGTAGCCTCGGGACTGCCATTGTGGTAGCAGAATGAGTAAGGGGCCATGCTGTAGTAGTTGACTTGGAAGTTGGCTGCTAAGTGGTTGGGGGGATTCCTTTGACCTCTTTATACCTTTTCAGGATTTCCACTGCATTCTTCAGGTTGCCTTCTGGTTCCCATGAATTCTCGGCCATTGGTTGGTGTTTCCACTTGACTAAATACCAGCGATGTCCGTACCAGGGCCGGTGTGCGAGAATTGCTTCCACCTCGTATTCATCGTGTCCGTCTACGATCTCCAGTGGTAGTTCTAGGAAGTTCTTCCCATGCTGTGGTGTCTCGTGGTATGGAGTGAGCAGAGAAGCGTGTACCACAGGGTGGATCTTCATAGTGCTTGGAAGGGCTAGTTTGTATACTAGCTTCGAAAGAACCTTCTGTATCTTGAATGGTCCGTGTCTCTTGGGTGCCATCTTCTTAAAGGAGTAGCCATCTTCGTGGTGAGTCATCTCTAGCCATACCTTCTGACCTTCGGTGAATGGGGTGAATTTCCAATGTAATCTTTCTGCCATTTGAGTTGTGGCATAATCTAAGGCCACTCCTGCTTCTTCATGGGCTTTTTGCCTTATTCGAAGCCATTGTTGAATTGACAGAACTTTTGATTGTGCAAAGTTCGTCAGTAGTGCCTTAGGATGTGAGCCGAACATGAGAAAGAATGGCGAATGTTTTGTTGCAGAATGTTCCCAATTATTGAATGCGAATTTGAGGTTGGGAATGTAGTCGGCCCAATCGTGAGGATGGTTAGAACAGAATATCTGGAAATATGCCTCGATTTCCCTATTCATGCGTTCAGTTTCTCCATCGGTCTGTGGGTGATACGCCGTGCTCATTCGTCCTTCTACACCAGTTAGCTTCCATAGTTCTTTCAAGACGAGGGAGTCAAATTGAGGTCTTCGATCGGACAGGAACTTGTCCGGCATTCCAAATCTCCGGAAAACGTGGTTGTGATAGAACGTTGCCGTCATTGTCACGTCCATCCTTTCTGTGCAGGGGATTATAATTACCCCCTTCGTAGAGTCATGGTCGACCACGACCATTAAGGATGTAAAACCTAGCGAGAGCGGTAGTGCGGTGATGAAGTTGCATGTAACGAATGCGAAAGGCCTAGACCGGTGGGTTGCTCGTATCGGTTGCAGTGGTGGAGTGGTCGGATGAGTGTTGACTTTCATCTGCTGGTATGCCACGCATCCTTGAACGTAACTGGACATGAATGATCGTATTCCTGGCCAGAAGAAGTTACGCGTCAGTAATTCCGCTGTTTTGAACCGTCCAGGGTGTCCGGACACTGGGGCGTCATGGTAGAGCTTTGTGACCTCTCGGCAAAGTGCGAGGTTGGATGGTACATAGCATCGGGATTGGTAGTATAGGATGCCGTTATTTTCCATCCAATCATCCATGGTCGTCCATGCGGGAAATGAGATTGCGTTATTTTGCATTGCCATACGGATGGAGTTTGCGTAGTCGTCTGTTCGTCCCGTCTTTCTAATGCGATCTAGTAATGCCTCATCGGTATTTGTCACAGTGAAGTGTTGTGGGCCATCCGATTGTGTCAGCAGAGATTGAGCGATGTGTAGTGAGCAAATGTTCATTTCCGCAAAAAGCGTGTGTGGCAGGAGGATTTGATCAACATTGTCGTCTGTGGAATGGGAGGGTCCAGAATTTCAGGTGAGAGTGTCTGACTGTACTAGTTGCAAACCCGGGCAATGATGGAGTGTGAAATCAAACTGGGAGAGGAATAATTGCCATCTTGCTTGTCTCCGGTTGAGCCGTCTGGCTGCGCAAAAGTATGTTAGGTTCTTATGGTCAGTCAATATCTGAAGTGGAAATTGCGTCCTGAGGAGGTAATGTTGCCATGCTTCCAACGCTCTGACGATGGCAAGAAGTTCGCAATCGTAAATCTTGTAGTTTCGTTCAGCCGGTAGGAGGGATTGAGAGAGATAGGCGATTGGGTGCCAGTCGCCATTAACATCCTGTTGGCAAAGTATTGCAGCGGTTGCAACTAGCGATGCGTCGCATTCCAGAACAAACGACTTGGTTTGATCTGGCATTAGTAGGACAGGAGCCGTGGTGAATCGCCATTTAAGTTCGTCGAAGGCTGTCTGACATTCTGAGGTCCAAATAAATGGTGCATCTTTCTTGGTAAGATCCACCAGTGGTTGTACAATATCAGAGTAATGATCAATGAATCTTCTGTAGAAGTTTCTGAAGCCTAGAAATTCTCGTATTTGTTTGACCGTGGTGGAAGTAGGCCATTGTAGTATGCCATTGACTTTTACTGGATCCATTTCGATCTTGTTGTGTGAAACAATCATGCCCAGAAATTCTACCTTCTCGACATCGAAGACACATTTCTCCGGTTTAAGATATAAGTTGTTTTCTTGAAGTCGTCCAACAACTTGGATCGTTTTGTGCCGGATGTCCACTGAGTCTGTTCCGCCAATCAGAATGTCATCCATATAGATCTGGATCCATCCTTCAGTGATCATGTCTTGAAATATGTTGTTCATCATTGCCTGGAAAGTTGCCGGAGAATTGCACAGTCCGAAGAACATAACTGTGGGTTCAAAAAGTCCTTGACTCGTCTTGAACGCCGCTTTCCATTGGTCTCCTTCTCTGATTCTGACGTTGTTATACCCTGACCGGAGGTCCATCTTGGTGAAGCGTTTCCATCCTTTGATTTGATCGACGAGGTCAGATATCAGTGGTAGTGGATAGGAGTTCTTGACTGTTCCTTCGTTGAGGTAGCGATAGTCTTGGCAAGGGCGCAGATCTCCGTCCTTTTTTCCGACAAAAAAGAAGGGGGAAGCCATAGGCGACTTTGATGGACGAATGTATCCTTTTCGTAGGTTCTCATCAATGAAGTCGTTCATCTTTGATTCTTCTAGCGGAGACAGCGGGTAAACCTTGCAATTTTTAGGGGCAAATTCTGGTTTAAGATCAATGGCATGGTCGTAGGATCTTTCTTCAGGAAATCTTCCTGCAGCTTTCTTTTCAAATACTGAAGAGTATGACTGGAGATAATCAGGGAGCGTTGTCTCGGGCTTCCGCGCTTTTGCTTCTTGTGCGAGAGTCATGGCCGGATTGATTTTCATTCGAATGGAGAGCCCCAGTATTGCTTGTGTGACCGTGGTTGTAACCGGAATAGTGTGGATTTTACCAGAGTTCGGTATCCATGCAGCTACATAGTCCCCGGTTATTTCGTCATCTTGTTCGATAGTCATTGATGAGATACAAAAGAGGGGTGGTGCTTCTGGGTCATTTGCCATACAGAGGGCTTGGATGGTGGTATCCAACATTGGCTGGAACCTGTCATTTATCTCTGTTGACCCAAAGCCTTAGTTTCCTCGGTCCGTCGTGAGTAGTTCTTCCACTTCCTGGATTGGTGGTTGGGCGATTCTTTCCACAATTACCTGGGCGATGTGGTCGCCCTTGGTGATTGTGAAAGGGGTATTCCCATGATCGACCAAGATGACTTGTATTTCTCCAGTGTAGTCTCTGTCAACTACCCCTGCTGCGACGTCAATTTCTTTGAGTGCTAATCCACTTTGTGGGGCAATACGTAGGTAGGTGCCAGGTGGAGGTGTCATTCGTAATCTGGTTGGTATCTTTGCCCGAGTGTGAGGGGAAATGACCGAGTCTTCTATTGCGGTAAGGTCATATCCTGCTGCTTCTGGGGATCCTTTCGTTGGGACAGCTCCTCCACCGCATTGAACTAGAAGATGTTCAGTGAGGAGTCTTGTGTCATCAGCAGAGGATACTTGGATAATCCTGCCTTCCGAGTCCGGTTCTTCTTCCATAACAACTCTTTGGATGGTGAAGTCGAGTATCCCGTATTTCCAGTTAATTTGTGGATTGTGATGTTATAGCCAATCAATTCCTAAAATAGCATCTTGCTTTCCTAGGTGAGTAACAAATATTCGTTCTTTGGTTTCTTTGTCGACAATTTGTACCGTGGGTTCTACGTAATTCTGGATCAATCCAAGTCGGTTGGAAGTTCCATCGACATTGAATACTGGTATTGGTTTTGCCAGGGGGTATTCACGGAGTTGTAGTCTTCTTACAACTTGTTGGTCGATGAACTTGCCCTGAGCTCCGGAGTCGATGAGCGCATTGATTTTTGTTCCAGCATTTCCTTCCAATTTCATGATAACAGGTAATTTCATTGCCTGGGCCTTCATGTCTGCTATTAGTACAGATGAAATCGAAATTCGAAGAGGTTCAACAGCTGGCGTTGACCTCACTGGGTAAAATCCAGATTGTCATCCTTTCCTGTGCAGTTGTAGTCGTGGTCGTAGATGATTCGATCGAGATTGGGCAATGGAATGGAACTCAACATGGCGTCAATGTCAACGTGTGACGGAGTTGTGGGAGTTGCGTGCGAGTCTACTGGAATTGGGTTGCTGACTGCTGGCAGATGAGGAGAGCTTGGATTTCCGTCCCATTGAGTGACTTGAACGTAGGGGCAATTTGCAGATGGATCGCCTTGGTAGTTTCTCCAGTTTCCTCTACCTCCTTGGCCTCTGCCTCTCTAGTTTCCTCCTCCTCAGTAGGCTCCTCTTCCTCCTGCTTGCCAAGATTGCCTGCATTCTCTGGCAATATGCCCGAATTTTCCGCAATTATAGCATTTAATTCTGCTTTGTCTGGTATTAAGAGCGTCTACATCCATGGCATTGGAGTCACGGGCAGAGGATGTCGGAGTGGTTGTCATGGTTCCAGAATTTGTAGGAAGGTGTGTCTGCCTGTTTTTGATATGCCTGAGAATTCCAAGCCTGTTGTCTAGCTCGAGGGCTTGTTGTTGCCACTGGGAGAGTGTGGCATTGATCGGCATATGGGCAATCAATTGGCGTGCAAGTAATTCCTTTAATCCGCAAAGATATTGCTGGAGGAGGTTTCCGTTGGCATCTGGGTTGACTATTTCTGCTTCTGCAATTAACGTATTGAAGTGTACGTTGTACTCGTTGACCGTTTCGTGGTCTTTCTGGATAATCTGATGGAGCTCGACCATAGCTCAGGATTTTGGGTTGGTTGTCTTGTAGGCTTCCAGGAATTCTTGGCAATGTGTAGCCCAGGTGGGCCATCCTTGAAGGAGATACAACTTCTCCTTGACTATCGCCCATTTCCGGGGTTGTTTCTTCCCCGAGTCTTTCATGAGCGAGTCCACAAAGTGAATCTTTGCCTGGTCATTTGGGAATCGCGAGGTCTTGGAGAGGAAATACATTTTGCATTGGTGGATGAAATCTCGGGCTTTCTCAATATCTCCGGAAAATTTGGCTGGCTTGCCTATCTCTTCCTGGGGGAGGGCGTTGCGCAAGGCAGCAGTGAATGCTGCTAGCAGCTGAAGGTCAATGGGGTTTGGTCCTAAAGCTGCTGGAATTGGTCCTCCTCCACCTTCAGGTGGTCCACCTCCACCTCCACCTCCTGGTTGTCCAGGAATTCCTCCTGGAGGTCCTTGACCTCCGACGTGGGCAGCTGCAGCCCATACTGGTGCTGGCGATGGTGGGTTATGGACATATTGCAATGCCTGATGTAGTTCTGCTATAGTAGCTTGTCCTTGGAAGTGTGTACGCTGGAGGAGTTCTTCTAACAATTTCTCGTCAGTGAGGGTTGTTGTTTGTGTTGCCATGTTGTCTTCTGGCAGCTCAGTGTCTTCTTGATCGGTGTCTGAGAGGGTTTCAAAAGTATCTGTGAAATTGTCTCCTAGATCTCCCTCTTGTTGAGCTTTGATGCGCTCTGCTGGTTGATCTCTGGTAATTTCAATGAGTCGATCGGGGATTTCCTCAATTGCTTCAGTGTTTGATTCGTCATCTCTGTGTATGCAGATGACTTCTCTGCACCTGTGCCACTTGTTGTCTCGTGTCCGAAAATGATAATCTTGTTGTTGGCTGATGTGGTGTCTGTGTGCTTGATTCTGGCACCTTTCTGGTGTAAGTTCAGCGCTTCGCTGACTTGTGGTTCTGGTGATAGGGGGTTGGACCATGTACGTCTGGTCATCGGCGAAGGGAGCTTCAGCCTAATGTAAGAGTCGTAGAATGTAGAACATGGGCTTGTACAAAGTCCAGAAATGATATAGAAGAGTGACTGATAATACAGGAGGCTGAAGCTAAAGTACACAACATTTCCGGCTGGTATTTATACTAACCTAGCTACTGCGGGATTAGCAGAGAAGGGACAACGTATCTACGAGAACGTCCGGGAAATGGAAGTGGTCCAGAAATGGACCGGAAATGACTCGCCTGGAAAAGGGTAGAACATTTGAGTAGGCGCTTACTGTCTGGAAATAAAGAGTAAAGAAAAAACATATATCAGAACGATGGACTGATCGTAACACTCTCAAATGAAAACAAGTTTTTGCATGTTTCTAGTTTACGACATGCTGATTTTTGTCCATGTCCAACCTTCATACATACCGGCCAACGAAAACTGACTAATGTCTGAAGACAATCCATACCCGGTAGTCTGGACAAGTGTTGGTGTTCTTCCGGGTTAAATACCCAACTTTAGATTCAATACTACCTAAATTGAGTGGATTTGTCACAATCTCGTGCACATCAGAGATTCAGCTCTGCTTCTCCATCAGCCTCTATAGTGTATGCCTTAGATTGGGAATTAAGGACGATAGAGACAAAAACCGAGAGCATGAAGAAGATATTTTGAAGGCCAAAGATAATTAATGCATCCTTCACATAGCCTCTAAAGTATGACCCAGTTGTATTGACAAGTCAATCTGCCGAACACCGGCAGGTGGCGGCAGCAGCGCGCAGGCCAAGTCTGCTTCCACTGCTGGTGCAACAAACCCCTGGCTGCACCTCTTTGTGCTGCGACAATGTCCCCCAATGCAGCTCCCATAGATGTCAACTCTGACCATGACCTCTCTGCCAACAGGGTACGGTGGAATCCATCCGACTGGATAGGAGCGACATCCCTCCCGCCGTGCTACTGTTTATTGTTAGTCGGGCGGCAAAGCTGGCGTTCATGCTTGGCAGGAGACTGTCACCTCCATTGGACAGGCATCATACATTGCGGTTCAAGTTCATGAGCAAACCATCAACATTAACTGCTTTTGCATGATCCACCAGCATGTCATGGCACTGCAAAGCTTATCATTCTTACCATGGCATGCACCTTTAGACCACTTCTTATGCATGCTACCTGGAGACATACTAACCTTCTCGCAAGATCGGAGGGTGCTACAGCTAAATGACACAGCCTACCATATATTCTGCAAGCTCAGCTGTCCTATCTCTTGTTCAAGAGTTCAAGCCGCCGTGACACATGGAGAGAAGCAGGTGGCAGTGGCAGCAGCTGCAATGACAACCGAAGGGACCGAGAACAATGATATTTATGAAGAGTAGTGTATATCTGTGTAGTATGTATGAGTATACTATACACGAAGGAATAACAGGCGTGGTACAGGTGAGGAAACTGATAGGCCTGAGTCAGTGTCTGTACCAAAGTCCGGCTGTCAGACCGGACCAGGAGGAAAATCCATACTATTTTGGGCTCATCATGCAAATTTTGTCCGTACCTAAAGGCCAAAATCGGCAAAATCTGTCCTCAGGCCTTTCCACCAATTGTCATGGGTCCTGTCCGCCTGTACACATCGACACTGCGGCTGTTAGCCAAATGAAGGGGACGTCCAACCCTTCCTTGCCATAGCTCTTTGCTCGCCGAGGATCTGGTCCCGAAAATCGCGGCGCTGCTCAGAGTCACTGCTCTTTGCACGCTGGGCGCATGCATCACATGATCCCATGCAAGGGCGATGCAATTAGATTTGTGGCTTGCAATGCTGTAGCCTTGACACAAGTTTCACAAGGACCAAAAATGTGTTATTTATGAATAAATATTTAGGCACTGCGGCAATTATTTCCACTGACACAAGGGTGGACAGCGTCGGGCACTGGGGCGGCCCATCACTTCTATTTTTAGTACTTAACACTGCCTTTCTGGAGGGGTTCAGCCAATCACGACAGTAATTCCCACGGCTGATTGGATGCGGTACTGGATGCGGTACTGGATGCGGTACTGGAGATGATGTCCAGTCGCACCTCGCGCGGAACTGGATGCGGGTTTTGCCCGTTGTGACATTGGCTGCGGCACTTCTGCTCGCGGCTGACAGAGGGCGGCGTCCCCCGCAGCTTGGTGCTATTTGGTACAGCGTGACCGTAAGCTATCGATCTGGGGATAGGGGGAGTAACGACATTCGAAAGGATATGTGCCGCTCCCTCGGACCCTTGCAGGTAAGCTGTCTGCTAAATCTTGTCTGTCATGTTAGTCGAATGGCTGAGCACAGATATGCAATTTGAGAGGCGCTCATAGCGGGTTGAACCGTGGCATGAGTAGTCACGAAACGATGACCGCGAGTTCAATTGCGCTACGGCCTGAAAAGTTTGCTCTGTTCCAGATGACAACCGAGAGACTCTAGTATAGTTCGCACATGGTATATAGCCTATAGATGATCTCTACGTGGCGTTAAGATCAAGTGAGGGCGTAACCAAAAAAAGGTCGTCGTTCTACACTGGTTTGGCGTGTCCCTACGCCCCAGCATCCGTAACTGGCCCACACAGCCCCATGAATGGTCGGGTCCTCGTGTTTTTGGGGGTGAAAGCGCCTGAACAATGTGTTTGCCGGGTCCAGTTTTGGTGCAGTGCCCGAGATACAGCAGGTCGTCGGTATCGATTTCACACGTAGCGTAACCTGTACCCAATTGTATAGAGCATAATGAGTGATCTAGTAGGGGTACAGCTGGAACACTGCAAGACGAAAACGCAAAGACTGTGACTTTCCGCCTGTGCAAAATGCTGTTGAGGAAGCCATTAGATCAGAAGGATACGTCAAGTTGTATGAACATACCAATACCTATGCGGTCCAAATTGGTTTACTGGCGGTACAGCTCCTCCACGGTACTGATGCCTGTAGGCTATATGAGCCCCAAGAAGCGATTCTGCTTTTCGGGGCACGTACCAAGCTCCTCACGGACACCCTTGAGCTCATCCAGATATGATTGGTACTGCTGGTTGTTCTCGACTTTCTCCCTGACACCCTCGAACACGCGCACGGCGGTCGCAAAGTCGTTGACGCGTCGAGCTGCACG